TGTTTTTTTTTATATAAACACTTTGAAACTTTACATCTCTGGGGAAGCTACTCGGACAAAACTTTCAAAACTGGAAGGCAGCAACCATCAGGAACTAGTTCTACACTCCAGGACAAAACGATTGGAACAGGAACTTATTGGAAGAAATAAGCCGACTACGGGGACATCCTATATCATACTTCTTAGAAGCTTCCGGTATTTATTCAAATCTGATAGTATTATCATTGACCGGTCCTAAGACATTTCAAAAGAAATTGAATCCTCTTTGATTCAAAAATGGCCCAACATTTCACATCCGCAAAAAGCGTCTACCACCGTTTCAAATAGGTTCTTGGACTCACATTGTAGCACGTCTGCCCTGCTTGGAACTTAAATGTCGACTCTATTGTCACATGTCTGCCCTGTTTGAAATCTCTAAGTCGACTCTATTGTCACATGTCTGCCCTGTTTGAAATCTCTAAGTCGACTCCTTTTGCTTCGTTACATTTTACAAGAATCTCTGCCAAAAAATTTCCCTTCCGTCTTGCAGCCTGTCGCCGACCCACTTAAAACCAAAACAAATATTCCCTCCTCTTATCGACAAAAAAAAACAACTTTTAAATGTTCCTTTATTGTCTAAACAAACAAATATTCTTTTTTTGGCCCTTATCTAATAACGAAAAACAACTTTAATATTAGGGGGACTTCATGTAACATACCTCTTTGGCGACAAAAAAAACTTGTTATTTTACCTAACATTGCAACACAGAGATAAAAACATATTTCCAGCGTTAATACGCATTTAAAAATCTCGTCAAAAAAACTTGAAATATTATTTCGATTGTTTTCTTTGGTAAAAAACAACAGGAGCGTAACACAGAAATCTTTTCTATACACTTTAAATAAAAAACGCTACACCACAAGATCCAGTATATTTCAAAGTACATTAAGTATACAGTGTAGGAAAAATTTTATGGTCGGTATGGACCTTACGTGAGATGGAGTGAGAAACAGCTGTTTAAAAAGAGAGAGGTATATTAGGTACGCCCTTTATATCGCCGAATGGAAATATTAAAAAAGGGGAAATTCAACGTTGCCAAACTTATTGGATTTATTTCACCTGTTGTTTTTTTTGCATTTGAACAATGTTCTAAGATAATCCAATTTGGGCGAAATTGATTTAAATGGCAGCTTACTCTTTTTTTTTTATTGGGAATATGCCACAAGTTTACTTTACAATAAGTGTAATATAAGATTTTGATTTCCACTTTGGAAATCGTTTTATATACCTAAATAAAATTTATTAATGTTTCGTATTTTAAGTACGATTTCCGAATTAAAAATCTAAACATCAAAATAAGCTTATTTTAAAGTCACATTGTGCCTTATTCCCAATATGAAATAATAAACTGCATACAATAACACCACATTAAAAAATATTCACACACAATAATTTATTTGGCAACGTCGTCCGTCTGGTCAGAATACCAAGTAACGGGTAGTAGAGGTGGGTCGTGGTAATTTTATCGTTAAGAGCGTAAGAGCGATTAATATTTTTTAAATGCATTAATTTTTTTCGAATCCTGATAAAACTAATAAATATTCTTGAAAAATTTAAACGCAGAATGAACCAATACATTATTACCGAGGGCCAAAAGTCCCTGAAAACTTCTATAATGTTTATTTTAATAAGTTATAAGGGCGAAAAAAAAAATTAGTGTGATTTTTAATTTCAAATATCTCATTCAAAAAACTTTTTGTTTATTCTAAGGGACTTTCGGCCCTCGGTAATAATGTAATCTTTTATTCTGCATTTAAATTTTTCAAAAATATTTGTTAGTTTTCTCAGGATTCCAAAAAAAATGAATGAATTTAAAAATTTAAATTTTTGTAAACAACTAACTATGATTGTTTAAAAGTAGTTTCAAGTAAGAGAGTACCTACATAAACAAACATAATGGCCAAAACATATGGCGTACCATAACAATCACTGAACTACCCTTCAAGTATTTTTGGCCACTCATTGTACTTGTTATTTCTTTAAACGGCCGTAAAATTTGGGAAAGCTGAGAACAAATAATCCAGTGTTTTTTATTTAGATTTGGTCTAAGTCTAAGTCTGTATTATTTAATACCGATGTGGAACGGAAATACACGCCAGTACACCGAAAATATCAAAATACAGAGAGGAGTCCGCCAGGGTTGCGTGCTGTCCCCACTACTTTTCAATGTCTACAGTGATCGGTATTTTAAGAAGCGCTCTCTGACTCAATAGAAGGTATATCTATCTATGAAGAAGTTTTGAATAACTTACGTTTTGCAGACGATACAGTAATAATTACGGATAACAACAATGATTTACAGAACCTAATGCAACGCCTTAATGAACGCTGTCATGAGTACGGACTGAAGATAAATTTAAAGAAAACTAAATGCATGATCATGACTAAATCTGCACAAATATCCAATTGACTATTGAAGATACTGCAATTAAGAGTGTTAATAACTATAAATACTTAGGAACATGGATAACATCAGATGTAGACCAAATCAAAGAAATTAAGACACGTATTGAAATAGCACGTACATCATTTATTAAACTTAAAAAGTTTCTTTGTTGTCGGGATATAAGGTTAGAACTACGCCTGAGAATGCTTCGATGTTACGTGTTCTCTACTCTTCTTTATGGTCTGAAAGCTTGGACACTAAAACAAGTTCATCTGAATAAGTTGGCCGCCTTTGAATTTTGGTGTTACAGAAGAATCCTACGAATATCATGGATTCAAAAAATGTCAAACATTGAAGTAACTAGAAGGATAGGAAATGAGGCAGAAATAATATTAACTATTAAAAGACGAAAACTTGAGTACTTGGGACATGTGATGAGAGGGCACAAATACGCATTATTACAACTTATTATGCAGGGCAAAATCCGAGAAAAGCGAAATGTGGGAAGACGAAGAATATCCTGGCTTAAGAACTTAAGGGAATGGTTTGAATGAAGTAGTGCAGACCTTTTTAGAGCGGCAGTCAACAGAGTCGGCATAGCCATGATGATTTCCAACCTTCGATAGAAGATGGAACTTAAAGAAGAAGAAGTGAAACGGATTGCCTCTTCTAACTCAGTCATTCTTTTTAACCTGTAATAGGTGAAGTTCTACCTAGTTTTCACGTCTTGGATTGGCCGTTTGGGAACTTTGTTATGTTGTAATTAAGCCTTTCTGAAGATAAGGTACTTTTTTTAATGTTTTTTGCAGAATTGTCGAAAAAAGGACTTTTTTTTATCTATTATCAAATCAGTTTTGACATAACATTCCTGAAGTAATGAATCTAACAGTTTTTCTTGTTGGCGGTTTATATCCAGGAATCCACCCTGCAAACTTTTTAAAATCTGGTTCTTCACCTATAGAAAACGGATGAAACGAGTCTTTGCATAAGTTTAGTAAATCAATAAGTTTAGTCAAGAAAAAGAAACTGATAAAGATGACTTAAGTCCATTGTGTATTTTTGATGAATTAATTGGACATGACTCATCTAAACATACAACTGTATCGAGAGATATACAAGAAGTAGACATGTATTTGTCTAATAATATATTACCCACAATAAATTTCGAACGGAGATTGGAACTGTCCATTACCGTGGTGGAAAAACCATCGCCATGTATATCCTAACTTAGCCACTATATTCATAAAATATTGTAGAATTGTAACAAAATCTTTTCCTTGTGAACACATGTTTAAAATCTGGTTTAATTTTAAATAAAAGAAGAACACAGTTAACAAGAAAAGTAGAAAAACTTGTTTTTAAATGTCAATTTAGACGGTTCGCGATTTAATAATAACGTGTAATGTAAATGTAAGTACTATTTGTATTGTTTAATTTATTTTTCAAGTTATAATAAATATATCCTTCGTTAGGTTCTTTCACTTCAATACTTATACACATAAACGATAATAGCCAATATGTTTGTGTACTCGCTAATTTGAATCAACTAGTTACAGTTTACGAAAAACGGTTCCGATAAAAATTTAAAAAACGGGAGGACCCACCTCTAGTTTTTTAGGTATATTAGGATCGGAACCAGAGAATATGTAAAATATCTCTGATCGGAACTATTCGTCTCACTAATGGCCAATAGGTGTTAAAAATATTTGAGGAGGGGAGACCAAGGGGAAATATGATTGTTATCTTTGTCTATTCGCTGAAAATATGATTTTATATCTGCGTTAGATATCCTGTTAAATTTTACCATACCGACCATAAAATTTTTCCTACACTGTATGAAAACTACAAGGAGTTAAATATATATTTATATGGTGAGTGGAGATAATTAAGAAGGAAGATATTAACATAGTTGGATAACCAAGGCTTAGTAAGAAGATATCGAGTGGTGATAATAACTTTAATTTTGGAAAAACTTTAGGCGTTCAGTAAAAGAAGGTACCAAATTTTGTTAATAATTTAATAATTGTAAGAATTTCAAATTTTAGATAGATTGTTTTAAATTGATATTGCTTATATTAGATAGATAGGTTTGTTTCATAATATTTATAATAAAGATAATTTAAACAAGTACTTACAAACTAATTCTTTGAGAACCGCGATAAAAACCCTATACTTATATATATCATATATATCATACATACATCATAACAATATATATATATATATATATATATATATACATATATATAATATATATATATATATATATATATATATATATATATACATATATATATATAATATATATATATATATATATATATATATATATATATATATTATATATATATATATATATATATATATATATATATATATATATATATAGAAAATTCCATATTTATATATGGGCGAAAAATTTCTCTTATTTTTAGATATACTACAGTGACCTTTGAACAAATGGGAAAGTTTCAATAATTGGTTCATTGATTTTATTTTACTTCCCTTAAACTTATACAATATCTAAATGTTAAACGTATTGACAATCTAAATTCGAAATTTTATTTTCCTTACCTTCACTCAGTTTCTTCCTCTGTTCCACAAACGCTTTGCACAATTGTGCCAAATTCTTACGTTGGGTTAACTCCCATTCCAATCTAGCGAGACGTAAACTGTGCTGTTGTTCTCTGTCATTAGAATCATACTAAAATTATAAGAAATGTATATATGTATATATATATATATATATATATATATATATATATATATATAAATTAAACCTAAACTACAGTACTACAATAGTGAAGAGATTTGGGAGTTCATGAGACTGAAACCCCTGAAGCCCCGAAGAAGATATCAGAGAAGATGTCGCAAGTTCAGTGTAATGAAAACCGACGCGGTTCCCTCCGGAAGCCTAGTGAGTTTGATATTAATTTCTGTAATGTCTGTAATATTCTTTAGTCTCAATTATACTACTAACCTTAATTTTACCCTTGTATCACCAACACCTATTTTTTAATGGCCATATTAGTGTCACAGAGTTAGTTTATAAGTATATTTAGTAGGTCTGAAAAATTGGTCGTAATATATTTTTCATACCTCTAAGTGACAAGGGTGATCCCCCCCATTTTTTTATTTTTTTGACAAAATTTGGTACTTTTTTATAATGTTACATTAAACAATACATTAATTTTTAACTTTTATCACTAACCCCATGTCTTAATAGCCACATTAGGAATTTAATCATTTAAGGCGGGTCGACAACTGAACAATTATTACTATACTCCATTCCATGAATATACGACTGTTTTAAATTGGCTTTAAGGTATCGATTTAAATGGTCCAATGTGCTGAATTGTACAATGGTAAATTCTCCCTATTTTTAAAATACTGTTATGACAGATATATACCTTAGATTTAAATATGAAGTCATGATCTAAATATAGAATTGATAGTTTATAGAATAGTTGTAATTCAGATTTTGAAGTATGTAATTACTATCATTGACTTTAGTATTGCAAACAAGTTGGTTTTTGAATTTAGAAGTGATTTAAACGAAGTGTAACAATACTTACGTGATTAAATAGTGAATTTATTTAGTCGAATATTCAATTGGTATTAAAAAAAACAAAAAAAACTTACTTAATCTCCTAATCAACACTACAAACAAATACACTACACTAAACTCTCTCTTAACGGACACGTCTCTTCACCGGACACCTCTATACGGACAGTTTTTAAAACTAAAATCAGTCGGCGATATATGAAACTGTATGTAAATTTTCGTTACTTTTTAATATCTGTAACGATTCGGTACTTTAACTATCAATAGCCGGTATATTATGCCCGGTACTTTCGGAACTTTTAAGAGTACATCCACTTAAAGCAAACAAATATTTAAAACTAACAAAGTGAAATATTAGATTCTTTTTCTGGTTTCTGGACCATCGTTTCGCCAATTTCTTTTCATTTATACTTATTAAAAATAGTATATTTTTTGTATTGCCGTTGTAGTACCTAACAAAGTAATAAAATAGTGTAATATCAAAGAAACCCGGCACGCCTCTTTGGTGTTTACATTTCACCGAAATCCAACCTAAGTTACCTAAGTGGCTAATTAACACATTTTAGCTTCATAGAGGTCATTGTATTTATTTGTAGGAGCGTTTACGTAAAATTTTTTGTTATTTTCGGATTAATTTTCACAATAAATTTTGCGTCTATCTGAACATCTATTAACTGAAATAATTTTAGTTTATATGTCATAGTAACAGAAGATCCTTTTTTTATGGAATAATAATTAGACCATAATTTACTTTCATACTTCTACTTGCACAGTAAAATATTCATTGTAGCAATAATCCAAAACAGTCGTATATTCGCGGAATAACCTATAGATCAGGTATTCCCGCCAGGCGTTCACGAGTGTCACTTCTCACCCAGTGAACAGCACGTAGTAGAGATAAGAAATAGAGACAAGTCTCCTGTCTCTCTTTCACAATTAGCTTTTTTTCACTCCTAACCGAGTAATGCGTGGGTTAGTGATCAGTGTAGTAGTGTCTGGGTTTCGGGAGAATGAGACCTCAGAAGCCCCAAAGAAGATATCAAGGAGGATGTCGGAAACTCGGTTAAATGATAACCGACGCGGTTCAACCTGGAAGACTGTTGAGTTTAATATTAATTATTGTAATAGTATTTAATAGGTTTAATACATATGTATGGGTTAGTTCGTTACTTACATCATTGACTAAATTAAATACTAATACATTTAAACAAAAATATGTATGTTTATACTCACTGAGGAAAATTTCGAGGACAATGATTCTGGTGCTTCTCTCATAAATTCTTCAAACGGTACAAGTTCTATGTCTTCATCTTTAGATCTAAAATATAAATAATTGATATTTTAAACTATCTGTAAAAATTTCCGCATACAATAATATAGGTGTTAAATTTGAAAATGATTTTTTTTAAACTGTAATTACCTAAAAGCCAAACACTTGTTAGTTTCTGATACCAAATGGTGACGTTCATACACCAAGTTCTGATAGGTCAGCTTTATGCTGTCACATTTCTGTTTTTCTGTAGTTAGAGTTTCCTTTCCATGCACATGCCTAATCTTGTCGGTTCTGTTGAGTTTTTTCACCATACACATTTTGACAACTATTTCTGTGTGAATATCTTTTATTTCGTTAGATTTTCTCTGAAAAATTATAAAAAAGGACTTAATATATTTATGTACAAGCAAGGTACAGTCGATCCGCCGGAGCTTTACACAAATAGCATTCACGAATTATTTTTTATATAACATCTCTTTCCTACTCACAGAAACTAAAACGATTAACTTAAGGTCTACTGATTTTTCAGTAGATTTACTGATTTCATTTTTTAACCTCTAAATTACATTTATTTATTTAAATTTGACTAAAACCACGTCTACGGACTAATATAGAATATTTTTTAAATGGGCCTGGTAAACGATTGACTTCTCAAGCACTTGTGCTAAATGTGTTGGAGTATTTCGAATTAGAAAAAATGAATGGAGGGCCATTGGAGCCATTTTGATCTGTTGAATAGCTAACATATTGAAATGTATGTTCGTTTATGAAAATCATTAAACAATTCTTTATTTAAGACAGTAGCGCTGCATTGAAAATATCACGACGGACAGTATGTACAATTATAAAAAGGAAAGAAAAACAACCATATTCTTTCAAAGTCAGGCGAAAGTAGACCTAGTCTGAAAGATAAGACAACTTATCTATCTGAGAAATCAAAAATGACAAGTGAGTATACGACGTCTACCAACAAAGTAATCAGGTACCAATTTTTTAAATCTCAATTTGATATATAAAAGAAGATAGTTTTTAAACAATACCTTATATAATTCTGTTGTAAAGAAAGATTGATGAAAGTAGTTTAAGAAAATTTCTGCTGAATTCATTAATGGATATAAGTCAAAATGTAAATGTAAATGAAGGCCAGACAGATATGGACTCCTACTGGACCAAAATAAAGGAAGGCATTAAAGCAGCAGCGAAAGACGAAATAGGAACAGACATTTGTGCCCGTAAAAATCATTGGTTTGGCGATGAATGCAAGAATGCAACAAAAGAAAAAAATGAAGCCTACAGAAAGATGCTTACCCATCGAACTAGAACAACCGTAGAGAATTACTAGATAAAGAGAAGAAAAGAGGATACACAAAAGAAAAAAGCGAAACCACCTTAATACGGAACTTAAATATATATTCAAGGCAACCACAAGACAATGCAGAAGTCAGAATGGCGACCTATTAACAACAAGGAAAGTTGTATTGAGTAGATGGGTGGAATACTTTAACCAGGCACTTAATATGGAGGAAGAATAAGAAAACCTGGAAGACGAAAGATATGAGGTAAGGGGAGCACACGAGAGGGAAGAGGAACCACCAACGAATCTTGAAGTTAAAAATGCAGTTCAAAAACTAGCCAGAAAAAATCACCCGGAATAGATAATCTCGCAGCTGAACTATATAAAGAAGGTGTCCATGATAATACTATGGCATTACAACAGCTTATAAAAGAAATATGGATACAGAAATTGTAATGTATGCACCCTTTAACAGTTATGTCGGATATGTTATCTTCCACCTCTACCAAGCGGTAGTTTTAGTAGTAGCTAACTTCATAGACATATAACCTATAATAAGCATACTTTTACTGTATCACGTTTTTGGGGGTAAACTAATAAAGTGTTAATTCAGTCTTCAATCCTTATTATTTAATATTAGATGCGGACACCACAGAAATCCCTCCCCAATGATTGAAATATGGGAATACTTTCCACAATACACAAAAAAAGGAGATATCTTTGAATGCTCTAACCACAGAGGAATTACACTTCTAAATACAGCGTAGAAAATATTTTCCAGAGTACTGTCACCGTATGACCATATGCAGAACGGATAGTAGGAAAATATCAGGCTGATTTCAAAGGTGGTAAATCTACAATTTATTAGATTCTTGTCTGTTCGTTCCGAACGTTTCCGATCATTTTGGCTATGATGACTTTGTTGGTTGCTATACGAAATAGCTTTGTTGAGGTCTTTCTTTACCATGCTCCCAGGTTAGCAAGCCAGGATATTCTTCTTCGTCCTGGGGCCCTTTTTCCTTCAATTTTACCTTGCAAAATGCATTGAAGTAGCTCGTATCTGCCTTGATTTCTAAGATTGCAACCCTGAAACAAATCTTGGAAAAAACACTGGAATATGGCATTGATACTCATCACACATTTATACACTACAAAGCAGCCTACGACTCTGTGAATAAAAGAGAAATGTTCAAAGCAACGAAATAGTTAGGAATACCAAATCAGTTGGTAAATTTATCAAAACTAACTCTTAAAAAAATTGAATGTAGAGTACGAATAACGTACTCGGTATTACTCGGTATTACTCTGTAGAGTACGGGATAACTGTTTAAACCAAATAATGGGCTGCGCCGGGAAGACCATCTCTCCTGTATACTGTTCAATCTGGCTCTGGAAAAAGTAATACGTATGTCACAAACCACAACCACTGGAATCAGTGCAAATCCTGGCCTATGCTGATGATATCAATATTGTTGGGAGAACGGAAAACAATGTACGGGAGGCGTATATAGCATTAAAAGAATCATCTACAAAATGGGTTTAATAATAAACACCAACAAAACGAAGTATATGAAAATAAGAACACACACAAATCCTACGACCACTCGTTATAGAAAACGACGTCATCGAAGCAGTGAACGAATTTGAATACCTGGGAGCGCTCCTTAACACTGAAAATAATACTACTGTAGAGATAGTTATGCTATTTTGGGCTCAATCTCATTCTTAAATCCACAATAATATCGAGAAATACAAAGATAAAACTCTACAAAACAATAATACACCCAGTTCTAACATATGGTTCAGAGACCTGGACTCATAACAGAAAATAATGACAACTTGTTAGGATGTTTCGAAAGAAAAGTACTAAGGCGAATCTATGGAGCAGTAAATGACAATGGAGTGTGAAGAAGACGATACAACTTAGAACTTTATAGAATATACCAGGAACCTGATATCGTAAAACATATTAAGATAGGACGTCTGAGGTGGATAGGACATGTAATGCGGATGGAACAAAATGACCCAGCTGAAAAACGCTCCTGGATAGACCCATTGGTTAGAGAAGAGGAAGATCCAAAACAAGGTTCCTTGATACCATCGATGAAGACATGAGAAATATGGGAATACGTGCTTCGCGGAGAAAGGCGATGGACAGGGACGACTGGAGAGAAATTCTTGAGGAGGCTAGGACCCACGCAGGATTATAAAGACAGAATGATGATGATGGTTGTTTTCATTTGTCCACTATCAAAATTTCTCCCGACAATGTTTATTCATTGATAACTGATGACGGTACCAACTTTATGTACTGATATTTGTTATATATTGTATAGCTGCATCATTTCCTCTTACGCATACCATTTTCACAGACGCAGACGTCACCAAATATTCTCCTCCTTAAAGATCGTTAACATTCAAACAAAAACTTCTCATCTGACTTAGTCGTGGTCTGTGGTTTGGATCATTATGTTAGTACTGGTTAAATAAGCGTTTTATTATGTGAAATTTTCAATTACTGCGTTTGTACTTACATCTTTCTGTCTTAAACTCATTGCTTCGGCAAGAAGGTTTCTGATATCTTCACAAAGTTCAAAATAAACATTTGCTTCCAAAGATGCTTGACTATTCAATGATTCCTTTTCTTCAAAATCAGCCACTTTCTGAAAATAAATATATAATTAAATGAGTATCGCATTTGAAAATAAAATTTTTAAAAAATGGGTTCAGCCGGGTTTTGAATCTGAGACATTTCGCCCTAAATGGCACAGTACAGTCGCCACCAAATTATTGTAGAATTTATTATCTACATGGCATTATGAAGTTGTTCTATTTGATGGTTGGTACTACTATCAAAAGCAGGTAGCAGATATAACCATAAATAAATAGTTCTTCGTTTTGGTCTATTTGTTTATGGATTTATTTCTTTATATTGAACTTTTTAATAAGCTTAAGATAAGGTTTTCTGCTATAATTTGTGGGCAACTATACCTCCAGTGTTTCTTAACCTGTGGTCCGCGCACGCCTGGGAGTCCGCGAGCATGTGTTAGGGGGTCAGTGGTCTTATCTACGGACATTTGAATTAATAAATAAACGCGTTTCGTAATCGTTACGCTGGCGAGCTCGCGCCAACAAGTGTGATCCGACCGAGGCGAGATGACCGAACGAAGTGAGTAAAACAAGTGCACACGGCGAACCTTCCCCCTGTCACACTGCCCGCGCCGTGAACCACACTTGCCTTTTCTTAATTTTTCCATCAATTAGATTCCCACGGTGATTTAGATTGGAATGGTAAGTACTATAGTAAAATTCATTAAGCGATGCAGGAAGATGTAAACATTAAATCGTGTCCGACCGGTATGAGCTACCGAAAACGTCGGCAGACGAAATAAGATGGACATTTCGGTTAGTTTTTAAATATTTGTGAAGAACTGTTACTTGCATTTATGCATAAAATATTCATTAATTTTATAAATCGGATTATTTTTTCACTTACATGTGTTCAGTGATAACATTAATTTGGATATGGTGAAGCAAAACATGATATTGAAAAGAAAAATAATAAAGTGTCATAATTATACTGTTACTTATCGGAACGAGTAGACTCATTTGGAACATCTTTAACAATTATCTGTTATATTTATCGTTGTTTATATGCCCTGCATCGCTTAATGGAATAAGGTATAGGTTTATATCTATTAGTGTACAACTTTTAACAATTTACATCCGGTGTCGCCCGTAACTTATTGGAAGGCTTGGGCACATTACATTAAAATAAAAGGGCCCCTATGGTTTAATAAGAGATTATTTTATTAAACTATTATTCTATTATTTTATTTTATAACTTGACTTTTATTTTATTCTTAGATTCTTCTGTACCGCATAGTCTACTAGAGGTTCCAAAAATTGAAAAAGATAACACGAAAATCCAAATAAAAGTGAAGAATTTGTTAATATTTCTTCGTCAGATTAAGAAAATTTTGGTAGCAGCCTCACCGAATACGTACAAAAAATTATTTTTAAATTGACTCCCTTTAAACCACAAGGGCCGTTTCTAAAGGATCTACAAACAAAGCGAGCTTTTTCAATCTATTACTGCTCCTACTTAGATAAGGCCAGTATAAAAATTTTACGGCCATAGCTGTGTTATTTTAAAACTTTAAACAAACCAAATTGTCATTTCTGTTGGTTGTTAGCAGATTGTCAAAGCAAATTATACTGTTCGACATGGGTTAATGGTGTTTCTGTTAGAAGCGATTTCACACAATGTATATCTGACCATAAAACTCACAGCAACATATTAAAGCAGTTTTATCTTAAATTAATTGGTTACAAGGTAATACCATTAATACTTCAAATCAGCGGTAAAATTACTTTCTGGCAAATGTACTGCATCATATAATTAATGTTATAATTACTTTAGCATCATGCAATTTATCTTTGACAGGCCATGCTTCTGAATCTGAAAGTTTAAATCAATTTTATATTTAATATTATATTCATCATCATCATCAACTAGCCTCTAACGTCTACTGCTGAACATAGGCCTCTCGCTTGCTTTTCCACTTAGTCCGATTTTGCGCCATCTGAATCCAATTTATGTAGACTGCTACATACGATAAAGACTTTTCATTTGAACTTTATGAACAGTTATTTGCTTTAAAAATTTGCTTGCAAACTGAAATTCAGAAAATTTAATATGTTAAAGAACTTTAAAGAACAGAATTATTGATGATAAAACACAATATCCTTGCATAAAGTTTTCTGGAGTTGATAATAGCATGTTTTTTGTTTTTAACCCTTCCGGTAACTACTGCCGGAGCTGAAAGAGGTTTTTCAAAATTAAAATTGATTAAAAACTACCTCAGAACTTCTATGGGACACGAACGACTATTAGACTTGTTTATTTCTATAGAATCCGAAAATCTAGAGAAATTTAAATCTTCTTATGCTATGAACGCTTTAATAAATAAGTTTGCAGAACAAAAGGCGAGAAAAGTTCATTTTTAAATTGTTCTGGTAACATATTATTGGCTCGAAGGAGCGTTTGCATTTGTAATTATATTTGTATACTTTATAACTATATTTTTTAATAAATATTTGTTCAATAGAAGCCTTTTTGCTTCTTTTGATCAACATTTTTTTAGCACTATCCCATATCAGCAGTGGAAAGGAAAATGAGATCAGAATGTTTTTTTTTAAGAATGCAGCAGGCAGTGGAAATAAACATGCTGACAATTTTAATAACTCTGAACGGCTTACAATAGTGGTATATTTGGCTAAATTCTTCAGTCTCCTTAACGAGCTGAACATGGAAGATATAATAACATATTCCAAGTTAAAGATAAAATACAAATTATGGTAAAAAACTTGACCTTTGCACTAATCGTAAAAAAACTATAATCATTTTCCTACACTGATAGCGTTTTTGGAATGTTCTGGTGGGAAATTTTACCAACACAAGTGGAAGAAGAAATGATTAAACACCTCCGAAGACCGCAAACCTCCGAGGTTTGCGGTCTTCTTTTCGGGATTACTTTTCAGAACCCGACAGAAATAAAAACTGGATAGCTGACCCTTTCAATGCAGTGTTTTAGATATCATCAGCTTGACAACGATACAGGAAACTTAATTAATATAAATATCATGTGATTTAGCTATAAAACGTCATTTCAAAGAATCTTCTTTATCAAGCTTTTGGGGAATATGAAAACAGTTTATAACGAAATATCAGAAAAAGTACTAAAACATTTACTGCGTGTCTCATCCACATACATCTGTGAAAAGGGATTTTCTGCGCTTGCATATCTCAAAAACAAACTACAATTGGAATCCGATTTGAGATTACAACTAAGTAAAAACTTCAACCAAAGTATAACAAATTTAGTAGCCAAAAAGCAGCATCAACCTTCACAGTAATAAAATATTTTTAATTTTCATATTTTTTTCAGTACTTAGATTATTTTCGGTACTTGTTCTAAATTTATTCCTGAGCTCTATATTAAGCGTGTCCTTAAAATTGTGCTTGATTTTCTACGGGTCCGCGCTTTGAAAAAGGTTCAGAAACGGTCGGCCATCGGGCCGACGTAGTTTTTAGTATTTTTTATATTTTTGACCTATTGACTGCAAATACAACTTTGTTCTTACTTGAACCAACGCCATATTATCGCACAGGAAGACAGACAGATAGACAGATAACCATACGATTTCAAGAAAGTCATGTAAAATCCTTAATAGTGAAACTTCAACTTCGAAAGCGCATGGTTAAATGCTACATTTGGTCAGTCCTCTTATACGGTGTCGAAGCATGGACATTAAAAATATCCACCATTAATCGTCTGGAGGCCTTTGAAATGTGGCTGCACAGACGTATACTAAAAATTCCATGGACGGCTATGCTGACAAATGTGGCAGTCCTTGAGAGAGCAAATGCTGCTCGCGAGCTGCTTGATAACATTAAATGTAGAAAGATGGCCTATTTTGGGCACGTAGTAAGGGGAGACCGATATAATATTCTTCAACTTATTATGATGGGTAAAATCGAAGGACGCAGAGGAATTGGTAGAAAGCAGGCCTCTTGGTTGAAGAATATCAGAGAGTGGACAAGTATAAAGAAAGCTGAGAAACTCTTTAGAATAGCTCGAGACAGAGACAGTTTCGCCATGTTAATCGCCAACGTCAAGGGGACTTGATAGGGCACGTTAAGAAGAAGAAGTGAAAACAAAAAAAAGCTGATCTAAAAATGTATTCCTGGCAAATTTTATGCGATATGAATAACGATTGTTATGTATGATTTTCGAGTAGATCCAGTTAATGATAGAATTTCCATCCATCCAATGGCACTACAGCCCAAATCGGGCCTTGGCCTCCTTCAATCTTCAATCAGCTTCTCCAATCATTTCGATTTACCGCTATTCTTTTCCATGAACGCTTTCCCAGGCAGTTCCTGGCATCCCCATCGACTTCGCCTTCCCATCTCTTTTTAGGTCTTCCAACAGACCTTTTTCCCTGAATTTTTGCATTTAGTAATTTTCTGGGGATTCTATTCTCATGCATGCGGACAACGTGCCCTGCCCTGCCCTAATGATAGAATTTAAAAGGTTAATTTGAACGAAATATTTGACTTACATTTTTTGAGTTGACTGAAGATATTTTGTTGATAAAAATGCTTTAAATTATTAAATCTACTGTTGGGAGTTTAGTTCAACAAGTAACATCTGTGTTCGAATCGCGTCATAAATATTAGCAAAATATTATTGACTTCCACATAAATTATGTGTGTTTAATCCACAGATCGGTTTCTATTTATTGACAACACAGTTTGCAAAAAAGGTCGAAGAAATACTCAAAGGCCAGTTACAGCGGAATGGCATCATGAAACTGGATTAAATCTGCCAAGGGAATACTGTAGCAAGTACACGCATAAATCTGGATTAAGGTTTTATAAGGTTGAATTACAGATAAAAGAACTTCCAAAGTGTACTCATAGTTTTAATATACAACATATTTTTTCTAGTTAAAGGAGAAGGCACTGTTAACAGCAAAATATAAGCAAGCCAGGCTTATTTGAGCAAAATCTAAACTTTCTTTTTCAGTAGAAGATTAATTTTTAAAAGAATCAAAATTCAATGTGTGTATTGATGATTAGCGCAAACAAGATATTTACACTAAACATGAGGCTTTTCACAAAGACTGTTTGAAACAGACCATAAAATTTCATAGATCAGAGTCATGGAGAGTAGCGTAAATGCTGTGAAATATCAACAAATACCTCAAAATAGCCTGCTTCCAAGAATTGTGAAATTAAATGCTGGCAGGAATTATATTTTTCAGCAGGACAAAACTACCTTTCATGTGGTCACAACCACTTACAACTGGTTTGGAAACAACAATATAAATGTTCTTTTTTGAGTTCTAACAATTCTGACCTAAATGTCATTGAAACAGTCTAGCATAAAATGAAACAGTCACTAAAAAATAACCCAAAACGGACATGACACTATAATAAAGCCAATATAAAGTATATATGCAATAAATTTTCCTCTGAACAGTGCAGATCTTTAGTCAAGTAAATGTCCAAGCGAATTTGAGAGTTCATAAAGTCTAAATTTGATGCCACTCCGTTTTAAAAGTAAATATTTGTTTTATGTCCCATTACTTAGTTGCCAAAAAAATAAACATTATTATTAATTAGTTCAGTTATAATTATATTTTGTTTTGTGTTGCTAATTCAACCTATATTATTAGTAATTAACTATTTACATAGTAATACATTAAAAATTATGATTAAGAAAAAATAAACTGTTAACTATCTGAATTTTGTATGTATTTTAGTTTGTCCCATTATATTATAGTTGTCAGGGCTAGTAGATCACACATGTTTTTTAAATACCAATTTTCACATTGGGTCTTCATCTTTCATCCTTAAGACATGTTCCATCAGCCTCAATCTGTTGATTTTTATGATATTTATACCATTCCATTCTCATTCATATCCATTGTCAACTCTATATATTGTTTTATTCTTCCAAAAGTTCCCAGCAGATTTCCATCCTTTTGAGTAAGTGTACAAGTGCTCCTATAAGAGTTTTATAAATTTTAGATTTTGTACTTCTCGAGATATTTGTTGATTTTAGTTTGTTTTGATAGGCCAAAGAAACATCTGTTAGCAACAAGGATTCGTCTATTGATTTAATTGTTCATACCATATCTTAAACTACAAGCAATACAAATTTAAATTTTTTAAAATAAAATTTCTTGAACAGCTTCAATGTTTTGTCCATTGTATTACCGATAGGTAAGTTGAGCATCCATCTATGAGGTGGTACCAGCATATTTTGTAGCTGTGAAAATACTTCTTAACTGCAAATTTGTTTCTCTGTATATCTATATCACCTACATATGCAAGAATTGGATGCTCTTATAAAATACTGTACTGTTAGTATTGGTCCCAGAAGTTATTATGACATTTACCAAAGCTAAAGAATATGATAGAGTGTGTTACCTTGTCGAATGTTATTATTAAATTGTGATTGTGCAAGACAGGTATCTATGTGACTGAACTTCACTGTCTATATGTGGCATTTATTGAATTTATCTTATGTTATTTATATTTTTGTCTTGTAAATAGTAATAATGGCTATGACGCATACAAGTAGGGAAGTTCATAATAATGATTAATCTAAGAAAAAGTGTATTGTTACTTAATGGAAAAGTTAAAAATTATGAATGGCAGACATTAAAAAAGAATTATTTATAGTGAGATTATATCTCAAGAATGAATTATATATTCAAGATTTTTTTAAAAATAATACTTTAATACTTCATGAGAAACTGCAACAGTAACTTGATCTATGTATGATAAAATATTAGTAAAAGTGGAAAAGACCTTGAATATCTGAATGCAAAATATGAATAAGAATTACAGTAATACAGTAGACTCACTCTATAACGAGAACTGAAATGGCAGACTAAGTACCTCATTATAAGCAGATCTTGTTATATACAACAACAATAATACTGTGCATACATATGAATATGTTGTTTTCTAAAACATTAACTTTCTATAGTTAAGCCATTCGAGGGCAATATGAGATGCTAATAAATATTGTTTGAATGGCATTTTTGAAAAAAGTGTTTACTTTATGTCATGATTATGTTAACAAATTTTTGATAACATAACTATTGCTTCTGCAATTGGAAAGATGTGAAACAGTTTTAATGCTTCTTCATTTGCGTTTTGTCTTTGGATAAAATTTCTGACAAGCCTTTAAAACACTTTCCACATTTTGTCTATTAGGACCTATAAACCCCTACAATGACACTTGTAAATCATAAATTGTAAATTTCCGACTAAGAATCATAAATTGTAAGAAGTTAATTTGGGGCGGCATTTAAAAAGGGTATTTATTTATAGCTACGACCGGACCAAAACGTAAAAAAACGCGTTTTTCAATCTTATTTTTTCTCGTTATAAGCAAATTTACCTCGCTATAGAGGGTTTTAGTTCAATAGAAATTTCACGGGACATCTAATGTACCTCGTTATAAGCGAAACCTCGTAATAACTGTGTTTGTTATAGAGGGAGTATGCTGTATTGATTTTGAGAATGTGGCATGGTTTTGAGGATGTGTATCATCAGGTTTTGACATTTATAGGAGTGATATAAGCATTAGAACGAGTAAGAAATTAAGTGAAGGTGGAGTTCTAAATTATTCATTAATAACAATTTTCAATCTCAGTATATTTCTGTTATTGAAGATCACATAGAACATCTTTACGGGTCTCAATTTGTGATTGGAGGTGTTTACATTCCTCCTTAAATGCCTAGTAAGCCCTATAACCAACACTGACATTCAGTTGAAATTATTGTTCTGATGTTTTCCTCAGTTATCTATATTTTTGGTGACTAGAATTTACCAAAACACTTTATGGTCTAATGATGAGTATGGTGTATTGGTTCATTGTCCAGAAGAAGATCCAGCTGTGGATATTGCTCAAACACTTGGTTATTTAAAATTTTATCAAATTAATAATTCTATATCAAATGAGAGAAATGTTTTTTAGATTTGGTTTTTTTTTCAGCAGTATGGGAAAGCAAGGAAAAATTAGTGCACTATTTCTTCTTAGAACATTATAAGTCATGACTTATAAGGAATTAAATTACCTCTTAAAATATACTATAAAAAAACAAATTATCTATATTGTTTTTATGGCCAAAATGAGAATGAAAGAAGCTGTTGGATGATAAAAATAATAAGCCCTAAACTCATATCTAACTACAAATTTGTACCTTATATATATCGTTATCGACATCAGGTTCTGGGTTGGAAACTTTGCGTTTTTTCTTTATAGATGTGGTTGATTCTTTTACCATTTTTTAAACTTTCTAAAACACTTAATTTCAAAACAAATTCAGATTAAGAAATTGTCAAATTGTGGTTAGGTTAGGTGTTAGGTTTTAGGTTATCTTTATCTAATTCTATTAGTTCGTTACTGTACCACTAGGGAGCGCAGATATTTTGTAAACAAACAGGTTAGGTTATGATTATGAATCAATGACGTATACTGCCCTGCTAAGGAAAAGGGCAGTATCTGCAAAATTTTCACTTTCGAGTTATATATGCAGATCTATGTTTTAAATAATGCTGAACCCATTGAAATAAATAGAAAAGCAGTATCTACAATGGTTATTGAGATATAGCATATATCATAAGCAGTAAGTACAAGGTAGAACTACCTATTTCTAAGCAAAAGAGCAGCAAATACAGTGTACCAATCAAGAAAGCAGTATCTGACTGCAGTTACTGCTTTTATCCTTAGCTTGATGTAGATACTGCCGATTTGCTTGGCATAGCCTCCCAGCTGTTTCAGGTTACTGCCGTCCTAGTGAGTTTGAGTTTATTCTTCTTATCGACAGTTGAGGTTATGTTTACAAACTGTTTTTTAAGTAATAGTTTATTGTCAATTTTGTATTATTAAAATGAGTAAAAGTTTTGTTTCTTCAAGAAGTAAAAGTATTTTTCAGTTAGGACTAGCACAAAGTATATCACATGAATCATGTACAAATAGTGAAACATTAATTGTAATGGAAAAAGTAAACGAAACGTCAGTGTCAACAGTATCAAATGAAGTAGACCCAGGAGCTAACAAAAAGGTACGATCAAATAATGTTTTTTTATGTGATAATGAATTGCAAATTTATAACGATGATGGACAGAGTATGGAGGTAGAAGTTATTTCTACATGGGCAGACAACAATGTGAATGAAAAAGAAATGACAACTACCACTACAACTCTACTTGATATGACAGAAATTTCTTTGGACCTGGAGCAGCTACAACAACTAACGAGTACTGCAAACCTTGATGAAATCATACCAAATGAGAATAATATTATTTTGGAGTTCAAGGATGATTTAGATATTAGCCATGATGATAAATTGTTAGATGTTAATAGAATAGTTGGTACCAGTCCAAGCGAACCAACTTCTTTGCACAATAATAGCATAAATCCATCTTTATTGCCAAAAGACGGTAACAGCAATTGTGTTGAACCATTAGAAAGTACTACAACTATTGAAGGTATGCAACGTAAGAGAAAGAAGAGAGAATTTACAGCTGTTGAACGTAGAAAGCTAAAATTAGAGAAAGACCAGAAATCTCATACCATTCAGCCTCCTTGTAATGAATGTAAATTTAAGTGTATAATGAAAATTAACGAAGAACGACGAAAGATTATTAATCAGTCTTTTTGGAATATTGAAGATTTAGAAGAACGGAGGAGCTTTATTTTTAATCAATGCGAAAGACGTAATGTTAAAAGGCGAACTACTAACAGTGGAAAGATTAGTAGAAACAAAACAGTAACATACTTTTTAACACATTCAAATGGTCAAAAGGAAAAAGTTTGCAAAACATTTTTTCTAACCACCTTAGGTTTTAACAAAAAAATGATAAATTTCTGACCACAATATTTTCTACAGATAAGGATGCAATAACACCCAAAAAGAGCATGAGAGGCAGACAACCGTCAGTGAATAAGGGTCCTCACCAAGCTATAATCGATCACATTGAGACTTTTCATCCTGAAGTACCACACTACAGAAGAGAACATGCTCCCAAAACTAGATATTTACCAAATGATTTGAATGTTAAAGTTATGCACGGAGACTTTATTATCAAAAACCCACAATTTAAGTCAGGTGTTTCATATGAACTGTACAGACGTATCTTGAAGGAACAGAGAATTTCATTTGCAAGACTAGGCAATGAGGAGTGTGAGGTTTGTGAAAACTTTAATTTACACAACCATAATAAGGATAATTTGTTTGAAGACTGTGATGTTTGTAATAATTGGAAAATTCATGACAAACTAGTTAAAGAGAGCAGGACATTATACAAAGAATTTGCAGAGAAAGTTAACGAAACTAACAAAAACAATGAAGTTATATTTAGTGCAGATTTAGAAAAGATAATTATGCTACCTCGACTTGAAATGTTTAAGCAAATCATCTTTGCACCACGCCTAACAACATACAATCAGACATTTGCCCCTGTAGGGAAAAAGTCCAAGCTTAAACCACTAGCAGTTCTGTGGCACTGTGCTATATCTGGCAGAAATCAAGAAGATATTGCAAGTACTTTTAATGTATTTTTTAACCATTACCGTGATACTAAAAAGTTTGTGTTGTGGTTAGACAATTGTAGTGCACAGAATAAAAATTGGTGTTTATTAACATTGTTTATTAAAATAGTAAACTCAACTGCAGTTGAAGCTACTGAAATTCAAGTTTACTACTTCGAGCCTGGGCACACCTTTATGAGTGCCGATAGTTTTCATCACCAGGTGGAACTGTCACTAAAAGCACAGAAAAAAACGTACGATTTTGATGATTTTGTTAATGCTGTAGGGGCTGCCAATAAAGGGCATGTTGATGTATTTAAAATGAGCGTTGATAACTTTTTTGTGTGGAAAAATTGGAAGTCTGAAGCGAAAATGAAAGCCAAGCCAGACAGACCTTATCTCAAAGATATTGTTCACATGAAGTTTGAAAGGGGTAAACACACCTTACAGTATAAAAGTACGTATGACAAATCAGAAGACTTCAAGGAGCTTGATTTCTTGCAACCGAGGATTTTGAAGACTGGGATACCAGAACCTACCAAACTAGTCTCACCCAAAAAATTCCCAAGGGAAAGGAAAGATCAATTACTTCAAGTGCTACAAAATATTATTCCAGAAAATAGAAAAGTATTCTGGGAGAGACTACCTACATGTTAAAGACAATTTTTTGAGAATTTTATATTTTTGTAATTTTTTTAGACCTGTAGCCTTAACTAGCTAATAAAATCTTGTTAAAAAAAGTGTAGTTACTGCTTTTGTTAATTTTACATTGCTAAGGAAAAGAGCAGTAACTTGTACATACTGCCTTTTTGCTTGGCTTTTTTTAGTTCAAAAAATAAGTAAGTGATATTTCTTATTAAAAACTAATTTATTATATTGATTTTATTCTTTTAAAGCAAAGCTAGTATCACATATGACAATACAACAAAACAATATAAGGAAAATAATCCATTTTTAAGTATAATAATCCAATTTGAAACTTTACTTTCATTTATCTTAAAACAGATGTTTTGCAGATACTGCCCTTTTCCTTAGCAGGGCAGTATAATATATAGACTACGCAGTCCCCTATTCTCGCTATAGAATCGAGTGTCCGAAAGATCTCGGCTCAAGGTTGAAGGTATGTTTATTAGAACAGCGGCGTGCTCATTTATATGTTAATGACAATAAATATTTTTTTAATTAAAATTAAATATTTATGAATTCTTTTTGTTCCCGTCTATAAGAGAAATAATTATTTTGATAAAATAGTATGGCATTTTACTAAAATAGTAAGTAAATAACTATCAACAATTTAAAATAAAATTTGCTTGTCACACAAAATGGAGTACGTCCATGATGTTTTCAAACACAATTCTCGCTATAGAATCAAGTGTCCGAAAGATCTCGGCTCAAGGTTGAAGGTATGTTTATCACAACAGCGGCGTGCTGATTTATATGTAAATGACAATAATTATTTTTTTAATTAAAATTAAATATTTATGATTTCTTTTTGTCAAGTCTATAAGAGAAATAATTATTTTGATAAAATAGTATGGCATTTTACTAAAATAGTAAGTAAATAACTCTCAACAATTTAAAATAAAATTTGCTTGTCACACAAAATGGAGAAAATGTTTTCATACGTCCATGATGTTTTAAACACAAGATCAACTTCGTGATGCTTCGTAAGAAATCATGAACTTCGTGCATCTTCGTATAAAAACAATAAACAATAACAAAGGTATTCATGTTTTGGACACTTTTTAAAGCGTTCACCGAGTCTATATATTATACGTCATTGTTATGAATGTTATCAATGACGTATAATATATATACCCGGTTCGCTATTCCCAGTCCGACTGTCTAGTGATTTTAGTAATTATTTTTTTGCGAAGTTAGTTATTTTTTGACAGACTCGAAGTGGCTGGAAATTACTATACAACCAAGCATACGTGCTCTTAGTCAATATTAATGTAAACAAAAGTAAATAAAATAGAACTTTGCCTACAATCAATATTTATTTATTTACATCGTATAATGTATTGATAACAAATAATAAAATTTATTGTACAAAATAAAAAAGTGGGAATAAATTCTACAAAATTAAAAAGTCAAAGTGAGGTTAAATAAGACACAGCAAGTTCCTTATGTTGTGACTAGGATGGAATCAATGATTAAATAACAGTTCATTGGATAGCATTAACATAAACTGTTGTTTTATTATCTTACAAAATAAGTGTACTTCCATATGCTAAAAGCAAATATTAGTAATTGGACTAAGCATATTCGTGGTTCAAGAGTAATTTTTGCTCATTAGCATTTGAGGATATTAAAATCTTCCACATATGGTGAATGAATTCAGTGTCCTGGCCGCAGTCTGCAGTCATATAAACTCAAACAAACAACAAAAACCTCCATGTAAGTATAAACAAGTTTATATTAAATTAGAAACAACTAATCTAAAAATATTAACTTTTAAAAAACATTTTATCATATTTATTAAGAAAAACTTACCAACGCATTAGCTGATGGAACAAATGGAAAACTTTGACTATCCATAATAATGAAATTTAAAATATAACTAACTAATTAACTGAATAGAACTAATAAAAGAATTAAACAAAGATAATAAAACTATATTAAATTAAATAAACAACGCGAATAATACAAATATTTACTACAATATTTTAAATTGTAACAATTCAAATATTATATTTATACAGGGAAAATTTGATGGGTTTAGTATACACTTCCACTATTTAGAATAATTCTTCTTTTTTTCCAAAAAAGAAGTCTGCAATAGTAGTATACTTGAGCTATTAATACTGAGAAGTAGGAATTGTTGTGTTGTAGGTTTCCGACAATGAGTCTGT